TCCCCCATGACATGTAAGGCCTGAAATTATCCATGCAACCAGAACACGGAGCTATCTTTCCCAACAGACAACACTCACTACACAGGCTCAGCAAAGCTCACTTGTAAGATTCTTGCTGTTACGTCCTACAGGTTTTTATTCAGTATGTCTTCAGAATTCTTTTTTTCTTTTTTTACATTTACCTGTTTGATGGTGGACCAGAAATGTTCAATTTCTCTGGCAGTAAGAGCAGCAAGAGCCCTCAGCTGCTCCTCTTCTCTTTTCCTGCATCTTTCCTGATGACGTATCATATCCTTGTGATGATGAGCCACGCTTAAAATCAGCTGAATAAAACCATTAAAGTATTTTAAGTCTTTAGTCTGTTCTATCTAACAAGCATATTTATAAAGAAAGAAAAATAATACAATCCTTTTAGGAGTTCTGCCCAAGCTTTACAAACACAGGGGAGAGGCAAATCAAAACTCACACATCCTCAGGGATTGTGTCCTAACCAGGAAAATGCTGCCTATTCTTCCCCCCATTTCTGGCTGGAAATATCAAATTCACATTACTCTCTTGGCAGCTGTCATCTTCCATCTTCTTTCTTGAACAAAATCCGTTGCCATCCACTGCATTTCTTCCAAAAGATAATCATGGTGTGATTTGTGCCGTGGGGTCTCTTGCAGTTTGGGCAGACGTTTCAGAGACCATAAACCTTCTTTCCTCAGTGCCGCTACTCGCTGCAGAATTTCATTTCCCTTCAAGTAAACATAATTATACTTATGCTTCCTACTGCACAACACAAAATCAAGACAGAAATGTGTGAAAAATGTTACATGAATACCTAACAGAAGTGATTATTCAGTTCTTGGAACTATGCTATGCTGTTTGAAGTTGCACTGTATTAGAAGATAATGAAGAACACATCTTGTGGTGAAGTCTGTGAAGGACTTTGTGAGGCAGCAGTATTACGTAAAATCAGTAGAGAAGTCTGGGATGCAGTGGTACTCAGTCTTGGGAACTTTATTTTTACCTCCTAAAATACAGGGCAGGGCTGATTCAGTGAGAATTTTCACAGAACTGAAATGTTCTGCCAGATGGCAGATGAACAGAATTCTCTGAGAAGTTCTTACAAAAATCCATTTAGTTTATGACATTTTTATTAACACAGGCAAGCATCCTGCAACTGCTGACAGCTGCACAAGCAGCACAACTTTTCATTGTGATTTCTCCCCTGTTATTCTAAATATGCTGCATAAAAAGTGAAAATAATTGATTCTGTTTAATTTAATCTCTTTCGAGGAGTATTACAAGAACAAATTCTATCTCCCTAGAGAATCTGCCTGATTCCTTCTTATTCCTTTTCTTTCTTCAAGAAAAATGCTATGGCATGTCTGCATTGAGATACAGCTATCTACAGAGCATTGTAAAAATTCAAATGAACACACATTTTTATTGTCAAGAAAGACTTACACCCAGCTGTGCTATACAACAGCCATCTGAGGCAAATTGTTAATGCTCAGTAAATTCTTTTGCAGAAACTACTGAAGAATCTGCTCCTTTCTTCCCCGGTTGGAGAAGTAAATTCTGTCACCCACAAAATCTCAATACAAAATACAAAGGACAACACTGCCAGGACACAGTGAGAGGTTAGCACAGTTGCTCCCTCTTGCTGCACCTTGGAACTTACCTGCGACCTTCCACACCCACCTGGAATTTAATTTGAAGCATGAAATTAAGAATCCAGCACCAGAAGGTTTAAACTGAGAGTTGGGCAGCCATTGCTAATTCCATAAATGAACAGAATTATTCTTCACAGAAATGAAGTTTCAAGAGAAAGCAGCAATGAAGTGCCAGACATTAATCTTGCCTAGACTTTCTTAACAAGAAGGATGTCACCACTCTGCTTCTGAGGATACTCTCTTCCCAGTACTCAGACAATTTAATGGTGCAGAATAGACAACAACAACAATTACAATACACAAAAAAACAGCCATTGAAAGCTGCATACAATATAACACACCTGTTGCTGTACAGGTACTGGCCTTGGGACCAAAATCACCTGCTTCTCATCACAGCCTGCTGGTTGTACCTGCTGAAGAAAAGCTGGGTTCCTGCTGTGTGGAGCAGGTAAGGAACTATGCAAACTTGTCAAGTTTGGTCCACTTTGCTGCTGGCTTTGCTCCTGGCTAATCTGAGCCACCTGAGGTACAGGCAGCATTCTGCCTGCAGAGGAACTTAAAAAAACCTTCAATTTCAGTATTTAAAATACTGGAATATCAAAAAAGAACCAAAGTGACAATACAGACTGTTGCATAATTGGTGAAAATCAACTTGCTACCCTGCCACAAGACAACTGCATACCTAAAAGCTATGAAGACGCAAATCAATCAGCATGCTAGTCCAGAATGTAGTTATCAGCTCTTTAATCCAACATCAGATCTTTTTTAACAACACTCTACAGAAAGGTGATAGTTAGGCAACCAACCTCTATCAGGCTATCCAATTACCAAAAAGGAAAATGTCATACAGCAGCATCAATTAAAGGGATCAACAAATTAGGCACAGAGGGCACAAATTTCAGCCCAATGCATGGAAAGTGAGATGTGCTGCACTCACTAAGATTGCTAAGATTTCCTCCAGAGGGTTTTTAAACCAGATAATAATTGGTATTAGATATAATGTTACAATTACAGAAAATCTCATTAAAGCAATTATCTTTAATTATGAAGCTTACAACTTACATTGGATTGCAAATACTTTATCATTAATCATTACTTTATACACTAGATGTACTAGTGCCCTTTTAAAGTTCTCAACATTTTTTTTTTAACTGTTAACAAAACTCATTATGAGTCTCTGTGGGAGGCACGATTTTGGAGCTAAATGAAAGTCAGCCTAATAAAGTATCTCATTATCAATGAAACACTGATTGGTCTACCCCTTCCAAAGCTCTGCCATCATTTAGCTTTGAATTCACTGTAACATTCTCTTTCCTTTGCTATGAAATGGTCTTCCTGGTCACAGAATTGCTTCCTGACTAACTTTTATAAGGAAGGTTCACTCACCTCAATGGTTATTGATGCCTTAACTCAATTTAGCCACTTGAATTCCTTATCATTCCAGCAGCTTTATCTAGTTACTTTATTTCTAGCAGCCCGACACAGGGTTCCTGCTGCACATCCCAAGTCCTGCCTGGGTGCATTTTCACTCTGGAGATGACACGGGTCAGTCAGCAGGTGCTTCAGGCTTTCCCAGCACAGGGACCCCAGTGCTGCTCGGGCTGCGAAGCGGCTTCGGAGCGAGGATGGAGTGACCTGAAGGTACCAGGGCCCTGTCCCACCTGCCGGGCAGCCCTACCCGCAGCGTTCCCATCGGGAACTTCCCGAGGGGCTGCGGTACCCGAGGGATGGGGGAGGCAGTTCCCTGCCTCCATCTTCCAGGAGAGCACAAAGCAGCACAGCACGGGGCAGGTAACGCACGTCCCCTCAGCCCGGCTGCTCTAGCACAGCCGATGCTTCCCGGAGCCCTGCAGGATTTGCTTGTTCCTGTTCAGCTCCGGCGCTGAAACCACCTCAATAAGCCCCATGAAATAAAACGGCACTCGTAGCGAGGAATAAGAAATACTCTTTTTAATTCTTGTTCTCTCCAAAGGCTATAAATAGAAATTCTCATTCATTTCAACCGAGACACATGTCAGTTTGGGGGCATTTGTTATGGGCACATAAATGTATTTTTCCTCAGATTGAAAGACAGAGTTTTAGAGCAAAGACTAATGCTCATGATGAACCAGCAAGGGGCAGAAATGAAAACCCTCTACAGAACACTTCCACACTCCTGTTCTGATACAGCAAAGAAAGGCCTTAGTGATCAAATAAAACACTCTAATGAAAACCCAGGTAAAATTAACAAGGAAATACTTTTAAGGGACAGCTGTGCTCTCACAAAAAAACCCAACAAAAACCTAATTCCAGAAGAAGCCATAAAATTAGAGGCTTTGGCCAGAAACCACTGAATGAAGGAGCAAAGAGGTGACTCCTCATACTCAGTAATGACAATACTACAAAACGAGTCTCCATACAGACCCAGCCAGGGAAGTGTAAAAAGGACTTGTACTAATACCCAAAAGCCTGGAAAGTTTTACTCCACTCATACCAAGTGTTCTACAGGTAGAGGGGGCAGGAAGGCTGCTGCCTGTACTTGTTTCTTCTTCCACAGCCTTTACGGAGTTGGAAACAAGAACCACAAGTCAAACCACAGCTGGGGAAAGACATAAAATTAAAAGCCCAGATCTGACACGTGCTTCCAAATACTGCTGCACAATACAGCCCTCTGTCCTCAGCAGCCTGAAGGGAACTAAGAGTTCACTCACACGAGGTGAGTGCAGGGTGATTAAAGCCCAGAGGAAGTCAGCACTATTCCTTCTGTACATGCTACACTGATTCAACCCCAAATCTAGCAGATGCTTAGATAGCTTCCGCCAAGAACAGAAATCTAAAGTGGCAGGAATGCATTCAGTGATTCAACGTGGGCAACACTAGAACATCCACGGCTGCACACTTTGAATTGCAGTCCTAACAATTGATTTACATCTTGTCACACCTCAAACACAGCTCCGTGAAACGACACCTCGGGCAGTAAAGATCCAATTACACACGTAGCTGTGGATCCATGTTCTTGAGTCTGCCCAGGCACATGGGTGATGCTGGGAGGATGGTATCTTCCAAAAGGTTTCATCTTGAAATACAGGCTTCAGTCCACGTTTCAAAATTAAGACCTCTCACTGACCAAGGAATATTTTCTTTTAGACTTGCAAAGTTTTAGAAAACACAGGAAATGTGTTCCAACAGCAAAAGAATTCACAGCACTTAGCATGAGGGGTTCCTAACCCATGCATGTTATTCCACTGGAAACTCACAGATGACATGAAAAATAAAAGCTTAATGGTGTTCAGAGATCAGGCTAAGTAAAGGAGAAAAAAAAGTAAAAAAACACCAAAAGATCACGATGTTATAGCAATAATAATAAAAAAAGAGTATATTAAAATTATTTGCCCCTTTTTGTAGAGATTGTACAAATTTAAAATACTATTTTCCAGGTAAACATATAATAAAAACATTATTCAAACAGGTATTAAGATATCCTGCATTACAAGATTCTTTTAGAAAGCTTCTTTCTTGTTTCATTATTTTCAAGTATACCAGTCAGGTGCATCAGTCAGTGGGATAAAAAGCCTCTTCTGCTTTTTCTACTGCAGTTTTCCCCACCCAGTTTCTCCTGGGCATCCAGTTCATGTTCTGCAAGCACACAAACCCGTGCTTTACTGGATTCTTGAATTTAGAAAGGCCACTTTTTTGTAGACAAAGGGAATGGCAAGCAGTAAGGGTTTCACATCCAGCCCTTTACTGGCTCAGTCGGAATCATCACCACAACCATCACTGCCCTCAAGATCACTGCTCCCCTGTGAAGTAAAATAGAAAATGGTTTGTCAGCATTTCATTTACATCAAGAGACTGACCTAAACCAAAGACACTGTCTTTAAATTTCTCCAGAAGTATAAGAAAATGGGGATAGATTCCAAATTCACATTTTAGACCTACCTATTGTAACAAACTTCTGTGATGGTAAATTGTGCTTCTTGCAGCAAAGAAATTGTACATTGGATTACACACCCACCAGCAGAAGAAACTTCTCATTTTTATTTACAACTGCACAATTACAACCTGCAGTATACGTGGGGAAACTTGAAGTGGGGTAATAGCATAAAATACTGATGTTTAAAATCAATGCAGGTTAGACAAGTCAACAAGTCTTTTTTTATGCAAGCCCCTCAAAAGCTAATCTTACATTGTCTAAAGCCATATTTGAGAATTTTGTTTGTCTGCTGCAGAGAATTTATGTCCAAACTGTATTAAGGATATGCAAGGACTCACTACACTTGTTTAAAAATTAAGACAGTTGTACATAGTATTAGGCAATCATTACAAATAGCAACTTACACGGAGACTGAGTCTGAGTTCTTAACTGGAAGCCACCCCTTCAGAAGTCAATACAGTGTGATAAATTTGGGGGATTCATGTAATTTTTTGAAGCATGTATTTTTACCAATATGATTGGCACCAAAGGATTTTACAAAGAAAGGTTAACATGACAATATACCTGTAGTTACTCTTTTTTCCCTCAACCACCGCTTGCTGAAAACATACAAACCCCCAGAGCTCATGAATTTTAACATTGACAATTTAATATCCTATTACAAAACAAACTCTGAGAGACTTAGACAGTTGCCTTCGTAACAGCAAGCACAGCTCACTGAAGTGCAAAAACAGCCTGCAAATCTCAGAGGAGTCTGTCATATCATCCCTTATTTATCCTTCTCCAGACAGCCTGTGCTAACTGCGATGCCAGAACTGCATCTGGTGGAGTTTTATCCAAAGCAAGCAGACCTGTCTCCTGCAAGAAATACATCAGTGATTTTGAAGCTGTCAGCAGCAAGTCCTGTCAATGTTATCATCAAAACCCCTGTGCCAGGTAAGGACTGTCTGCACCACAGCCTCTTTGGTCCCATTTAACCAAACTAACGTGGCATTTGTCACAAACTCCTATCACAAATGTCCTCATGAAGCATTGTGCTTCAGGAAAACAATTACTACAGGTACAAAAATAACCCTGAGAAATTTCTGGTGTCTTGCTTGTACCATTCAAGGCTGTACATTGTATTTTATATGTTCAAAATCTTCCTCATACTAAAACAAAAATAGCAGAGATGGGATTAAACCTAACGTTCTTCAAAGCAGAATCTACACAAAATAAATTTTAAAGACTTCATTAGGTGAAAAAAAGGTCATTACTTTCTTCTGAGTTGCACTTTACAGAACTTTTAGCCCTGCCCATCATTCATCCTTTGAGGATGTACCAGCCCTGTAACCAAGGACGTTTGAATAACACACAGAACTGTAAAGTGTCCTGAGGCCATCGAGTCCAACCCCAAACTCAAGCAGGGTTTGCTTCTCAAATTTAGGTTGGGTTGATCAGTAGGAATTGTTCTGATGACCCATTTAGAGCTCATGGCAGATTTACTTAAAAAAAATCTGGACCTAAATTTCCCCCCCAGCGATTCCAAACCTTATCTAGTGAACAGGGCATGACACAAAATGAGAATTAGCCCAATCAGAGAATACCACAAGCCAGCAGGTATTTAAAGGGAAGTTTTCATCCTGAAAACTAGTCTCTCAAACAGCTTCACAGTCACAAAGCCTGGTTGTCTGTTTCCGATTCTGTAAATTGACCTGTGCTTTAAAGTGTTTCTTCTCCTTTCTCCCTCCCTCAACTGCCCCATGCAAAACCCTGTAAAAATAACACTTTGTATGGTTCATTCCACTATCATCAAGTGCACAAAGACAGAAAAGACAATACACATTTCATACTCCCATCCTCCCTGCTATATTCACAGATAACAAAACTGTTACTAAGGACAAAGTCACTTCAACCTGACTGATTCCATTTGATAAAACTGTAGCTTCAATCATTACCTTTGAAGTTTTGTTGCTAGCTTGAATCCCAGCAGCAGAAGAGCTGAAATCATGAATGCAGAGGGTGTTTAGCCAGTTCACCATGGATTTCTCCTCCCTTTCTGTGTTGATAATCGTAGGATAGATATACTGCTCCTTGAACACAGCAATCTTCTCCTCCTCCTCTGCCCACTCCAGTGGCTCATGCAGCCCATCATTTCCAAACCGTCTGTTGTATTTTTCAAAGTGTACTCTTTCCAAGACCAGCCCTAGTCCTGGAGCTTTGGGGACATCCACCTTCTCCTCTCCCCAGCTGCGCGCTATGATGGACTCGTCCGCATAACCTTTCACAACCGCTATCACCAGCCCAATCATCTTCCTTATTTGGTGCATCATGAAACTCTGACCTTTCACTTTGATCACTGCAAATTCTATGTTTTCCCTGACGAATGGCTCTCCACACTGCATCTCCATGATGTACCGCTTGGCACTGGGGTCCTTGGGTCCTTTCTGAGATGTGAAGTTATGGAAGTTGTGTGTTCCTCTGTAGCACGCCAGGAGGTTGTTGACTTTTTTGAGGGTCTCTTTGTCCAGTCGATAAAGCTCCTCCTGCACATCGTGGTCTTTAGGGGCAAAGGCAAATGTTGGCAGCATGTAAGAGTATGTTCTGGCATCGCATTTGTTCTTGGAGTTGAATCCCCCAGTGACTCTCTTCAGACCTTGTTTTAAAAGTGACATTAGGTTTTTGAATCAGTAGGTTACAAGCTGATTGTGATCTCACTCCTACTTGCAAGCAGATTTTTTATATAAAATAGAATTAAAAGATAGAAAGATTTATTTTATAGGGCCCTCATTGCAAACTAATGGCAAGATATGGATTCATGTTAGAAATAAACTGCTCAGGAGTAAAACTGTGAAGGTAAGGGAGAGACCTTCTACATGAGAAAGCTCCTCTTTAAAAACATTTTCTCTCCCCGTTCCAGTATCCTTACCCAGAATTCTGATGTGAGAAGGAAGATGGTTATTGATCTTTTCTAAGATGTCATCTATTAGCCTGACTTTTAGAGACACAATCTGTCCAGCTGCAGACACACCCTATAAAAACCACAAACAGACACATAATTATGTACCTTGGAAATTCAGGGATAGCACTGGGAGAACTGCAATAGCTGAAGGACAAGTTTATTTATTTTTCTCACGGGTGATTTCAGGCTGAAGTGAGGCAAAGGCAAGGCCACAGGCAGAAATCCAAGAGTAATCCTGGAAGATCTGCTGGTGCTGCACAGCCATACAGCACCTCAGCAAGCAGGCAGCAGAGCATTGCACTTCCTCCCATGACATCTCACTATATTTGACTGCTATTAAGTAAAGCACCAACTAAAAATAAATCACTTATACATAAGATCAACCATGAACTTCAGTTCAGACTTAGAACCCTGCTGTGGCAGGATTAAATCCAACTGAGATGCAGCTGAACTCTCAAGCTCCACAACAATCAGACAGCAACAACAACCAGGAGAAGCAGGATGGGAGGCTGAAGCAGGTCAGTGTGACAGAAATGTAAACAGACAAGGTTTAGGTATGAAGCACCAGCTTTACAAATACCACCTAATCAATATCCTTCACTTCCTAAACATTTGCTTGTGCTTACATTTAGTGTGGATAAATAGAGAAGTTTCAAACAATACTGACTGTCAGTATTGGATCCCACTCTATAGATGACGCTTTACCTGTCAACCCCAGTAGCACTGGTGGGGAAACACCAGTTAGGAGAGCACAGGCCCCAGCCAACACACCTTATCTGTCCGAGCACACCGCTGAAAAGACATTTTCTTCATATCTTCCCCGTGGTTTTCTGGGATGCAGCCTGACTGAACAAGGGCAGATACTAAGTCATCTTCAATTGTCTTGAACTGTGAAGATCCCACATTTCTCTAGAAGAGGATGTACAGTAGAAATAAGAAATAGAACAAACAGCAATAAGTGGATACCTGAAGATGAGAACCATAAGGTGTGCAAGGCTGCAGAGCAGACATGCACAACCCACACCACTCCATCACAGAGCAGTAAAGCTGACAGGCACTGACACGGATGTGCCCATACACAAGTTTTACTGCTGCTGAACAAACATACCTTGTTGCATAAGCATGAAAGATTTCCTTCCCTGCCTGTGTGCAATCTTATCAATTATCCCGTGGAGCTTTTAAAGAAGCCCCAAGAGCACGTGTGGATCTTGCAGTACTCTGAGAGGAGCAGCAGATGGGGCAAAATCACCCTCTTGCTGCCAGCAATCCCTACGTGCGCCACAAAACGGCTGCTGCACAGGCAGGGCTGGTGCTGGGGCAGTGCTCCTACACTGCTGCTGTAGCAAAGCAACATCCCCTTCCTTCCTCGTGCAAATGCAGACCTCTTGCAATGGTTCTCCTGCGTCTGCACTGCTGCAGGCCACCCCATGGGAATGCAGCAGAAAACGGGCAATTTACAAGGTCTTCAAGTACAGATCATCTTTTAAAAAGTGCAAGAGACAGCAACACAGATGCAAATTTGTTTCATTCCAAAACGCAGCTCAGCTCTCCAGAATCTGCATGGTTTGCCCAACGCAGTGAGACAACATAAGGTCTAACCTAAAAAAAACCTTGCCCAAATGCTCTTAAATGTAAAGCTTCCACCAGAAGCTGCAGCATCGGTCAGAAGGAGATCATGAGACAGCATTACAAGCTTCGAAAGAACTGCAGTGCCCATGCTCTGTCTCCTCAAGAGCTTTGTCTGCAGCACAGTCTTTGAAAGATCTTCTACTGATGCTCTACACTAAAGCAGAGTCACTAGAAGCACCAAACACCAGAGAGGTACCACTGACTGTTTGAATTCAAGTTACCAGGCCACTTGAACGCAGGCATGCACTGCTCTTGCCCCAGCTTTTCAAGCTGCTCCTGCTTTCCTGCTCAATCACTGTGACCTGTGAGGGACTCCAAAAAACCCCCAAGCAGGCTGCACTGTTTGGCCAGAGCACCTACTTGCATCCCATGGTAGCCTTTCCCCGAATATGCCATCAACAACACGATCTTCCTCTTGGGCGTCTTTTTACTCTGATCCTCCACATCCTCCTCATCTTTCTTCAGCCGTTTAACTTGGTGCCCGTTCTCCTCCAGCCGTTCCAGC